CTTCACAGAAGCAATGCCCGAACCACACCCACTGCCGTGGAGTCCATTCTGACCCACAGCGCCCCTAGAGGACAGAGTGGAACTGCCCCACAGGGTCTCCAAGGCTGTCAGTCTTTATGGGAGCAAAGCCCAAACCACACCCACTGGAAGCAAAGCCCAAACCACACCCACTGGAAGCAAAGCCCAAACCAAAGCCACTGCCATTGACTTGACTTGACTCACAGCAACCCCTCCTTGGGTTTCTGAGGCAGTATCACTACGGAAGTAGATTGCCCAACCTTCCTTCTGAAAACAGCAACCCTATAGGACAGATTAGAACTGCCCCGTGGGGTTTCCAAAGGTATTATCTCTATGGAAGGATGTAGATTGCCTCATCTTCCTTCTCAGAGCGACTGGTGGGTTTGAACTGCCGACCTTTGGTTTAGCAGCTGACCCCTGGGACTTCTTAACTCAACCACTTCTGTGCTTCCACTTTAGTCATCAGTAGAGCTCTTATCTGACACTTTCTCGTTTACCTGCGTGTGTGTTTGGATTTTGTCTGTCTTGGCCTCCACAGACAAATGGACACACACATGCACATTTTCCTAGACCTTGGAAATACTGGGAAGCTTAATAGTTTTTGACAATCTGATGAAAAGATACTGGTTTTGTTTGACTTATTTTTCTTTTTAAGAATTGTAAATAGACCTATTGCCTTTGGAATACCAATAACAGAAAGTCAACTTAAACTGGCTTTCACTGGAAATAGAGTGACAGTTTGTTGGCCACCGTGACTTGAATTCCAGGGCGGGGTTCATTTAGGACGGTGTGGTCTGAGGGATCGCCGGTGTCGTAAGCACATCACAGCCTGCGGCTTGTCTTCACGGGCCACCCGACTGGTTTCGTGTGTTAGAGCAGTAAGGCTCCCCGACAGGGAGCCTTCTTCTGCCTGGGTCACGTCAGCGAAGTCATGCTTGAGCAGCCTGAATCAGGGGCCCATCCTGAGCCAGTCTCTGAGGCCGTATGGCTAGAAGGTGCTGCTCACAGGCCCGCATCGCGTACCACCCAGCGGTCAGGTAACAGGGTCTGCCCACCGGAGCCGCACAGACGAGGTGGAAAATGCTGGTTCACAGGAAGAAGGGGTTGTGGAAGAGAGAAACGATAGAGCTCATCACATTGTCGGCCTCCATGACGCCCACGTGTCTCGGAAGTTTGCATCTTTTTCTGTGATCTGCCTATTCATATCATTCACTCGTTTATTTGTCTTGTTCATTAGTTTCTTATTAATTTGTAAGAGGTTGAATTTTCTTTCTTTTTTATTTTTTGGAAACTAGCCCTTTATCATATGTATTATAAATTTTTTTTCACTTTGGGTTTTTTGGTTATTTTTGCCTAAAAATGTTGTCTAAACTTTCCATGTGAAACTGAATTATGGTGTAATCAAACTAATCATCTCCATTTATTCGGCATTGATTAAGAACCTGAAGAGAGGACTGGGTGCATCACCGCGGACACAGGGATGGGTGAAACTGAGCGGTCCTTGGAGGGCGGTCTACTGGGCAGACACAGGTACCTCCTGGCTGTGCCCAGATGGTGCATGCCACGGAAGGCTCACAGTTGAGGTGTGAACCCTTCTGAGAGAGCAAGGCTGAGGTGGGCAGGAAGGCGCGTTGACCGGAGCATGGAAGTGTCTCAGCTGCAGGGGTGATTTCCACATCGTCCTGACTGAGAACATGATGAGATCGGTAGATCATGACAAACAACAAAACAAAACAAAATGGATATTCCTGAAGCCCCCTACGAGGATTCTCGAGGCTTTGTTAATTGCGGTGAATTTCAGACGATCAATTACATCTCTACAATCTTTATACCGCCACTCGTCTATTTGTCGAACTGTGGTGGTTCGGGTGTTGCTGTGTGGCTGCAGGCTGTGCCACTGGTATTTTGAGTACCTGCGGGGTCACGCATGGTGCACAGGTTTCAGCGTAGCTTCCAGAGTAAGACAGACTAGGGGAGAAGGATGGGCCATCCACTTCTGAAAAAAAAATGGCCACTGAAAACCTTATGAATAGCAGTGAAACACGTCTGACATATCACTGGACAAGTTTATGAAGAGCAGGAAAACACGGATGTGGAGCCGGAATGTGTGCCCCTCGGGTCGGAAGGCACTCAGAAATGCGACTGGGGGCCAGCTGCCCCCCAGAGGAGAGTCGGCCTCAGTGACGTGGATGCGGTAAAGCTTTCAGGCCCTCCATTTGCTGATGGGGCACAACTCAAAATGAGAAGAAACAGCTGCACACATTCATTAATAATCGGAACGTGGAAACTACGAAGTTTGAATGTAGGAAGATTGGAAGTTGTCAGGAATGAACCACACCAAGCCGGCTGGGTGTGAACAGCCCGAGAGAAAGAGAAACTGGTTCCTGCTACGGTGACTGAAATAATAACAGTAATTGAACAGTGAATCCATGCATTTCCTTAAGTGCAGTTTTACTTTGTGAACCATAACTACTACCTTATTCATTTACCAAATCTGAGTGGTATTGACTTTGAACGACCTGCTCAGTTTTAGAAGAATAACAAATCTATCAGTATATACGCAAGTAGGTAGGAAGTGGGCAGGTTGGTAGGTAGACAGACAGACAGATACTGTATCAGCCTGCATCTCAGATGGAAATACATCGTCTGTGGTGGAATTCTCATTTCCTGAGCAAACGTTTGGAAGCTTTTCCCCTCGGTGATGTGTTGCTTATTGAAGATCAGAAGCAAGATAATAGCAAATAACAAACAGAAACCGAGTCACATACACACCGGTCTCTAAGATTCATTTCTAAATGCGTTAGGGAAGATTTCAAAATTACAAATGTGTTTTAAAGTTACTAATGGAGGCGGATACAGACATTAATAGTGTACAGCTGTTCCCTACAAAGTAGTATTCTGTAAAACACTCAAATTAAATGACTTCGCTGAATCTTGAGTAAAATGAAAAATGTAAATATTTATTTTATCCCTTTTCCAGTAGTTGAGGGGAAGGCTGGAAGAGATTAGAGTCGGGGTCCTGCTGCCTTTTCAGGAATGCTTTGTGAGGTCTCCCAGAACAAACACTATCAGATGAGTTGGATCCGCAGGGATTACGTGGACGTTTGATGCTTGTGAGAGACCTCTTGACATATTCAAGACAGGCAAACTATGAAGCATTGTGAGCGTTTGGAGACAAATACACCCATAGTATTGGTTGAGAAAGACGGCTCTCTGCCGGTCTAGAGAAGTCGAAAAGAAGCGAAGTGTTTCTCATGGAGACCTGACCATCCCAGTCTGCTAACAGCACTCACATTCCACTTCAGAATGATTAGCCTTCTACCCTAGAAGTAACTGTGTACTCGTTTTAAATACCATCAGTAGTTCATCTGGTTAATAAAATTATGTAGCCCTGTTCACATTTATGTGAAGAGATTTGAGAAATAACCAATGAAACGTAGCATAGAATAAAGTTCTTGCCTCTAAACGTGTAGAAAACGTATTTAAACCAGAGCTGTACGCGTCTGTGTGCTGTTTCAAAAAAATGATTACAGAAGAATGTAGAGTCAGTCCTTAAGACATTCGAGTCTGTGTCCACAAGCAACAGAGCTGCAGAAAATGGCCCTCTGTAGTCTCTGTTGTCCTCATTAAAGTTAAACGGGAACTGAGCAAATCTACAAGTAATTTTAATATTCACAATGAGGACTCATGCCAAGGAGGGTTTATTAAGGGAGCTGTGACAGGCGCTTCCTGCTGACATCACTGTGTTCTTTGGATGAGTCTCCTGGGTCTGGGGGAGGCTTGTGAGCAGCGTACAGGCGGAGGCTCTCTCCCTGCCCTATTACTCGTCCCAGTGAGACTCTAATGTTCTACTATGTGTCTTGTTCGAGTTAAGCCTTGTGGGGCGCTTTATGGTCAACCAGTGATACTGAAGTTTGAAATAAATGACTTGGGTGTTGCATGTAGCCCTATACCTTTTGTTTTCTCTGGACAGACATTTATCTGTATGGTACTTGACCTAAAACAAAACACTGTGCTGTCAGACAGCATTAGACTGGACTCCATGTGTCGTTAAACCCAAATCAGACAAAAAATGTAACCTGATGTGTGGAAGAAAGATGGGGCAGTCTGCTTCCGTAAAGCTTGATGCCGTGGACACCCAGTGGGGGTGACTGTGAGTCAGAATCAATTCGATGGCAATGACATTTGGTTTTGGTTAAAGTAGTTCAAAGGAGCCCTGGTAGCACATTGGTGAGGTGCTTGACTGCTAACTGAAGGGTCGATACTTCAAACCTACCAGCCACTCCACAGCAGAAAGATGAGGCAGTCCACTTCCCCTGAAGTCTGACAGCCTTGGAGACCCTGTGGGGCAGTTCCACTCTGTCCTCTAGGGGCACTGTGGGTCAGAATGGACTCCCCGGCAGTGGGTGTGGTTTGGGCTTTGCTCCCATAAAGACTGACAGCCTTGGAGACCCTGTGGTGCAGTTCCACTCTGTCCTCTAGGGGCGCTGTGGGTCAGAATGGACTCCACGGCAGTGGGTGTGGTTTGGGC